TGTAGTTTGTGTGTGTGGGTCTTCAAAACTAGGAAACATCTTCCATGAGCTTGTCCTGCCAAGCCACAGTGAAACAGTAAATAGGGGAACCCCAGTTGTGTGGGCTCTCCATACGTGACAGTGCGCTCCAAACAGGATCACATTTCAAAGATAAGTCGACCTGCTCAAGTCTTTGTAGTCACCTGAAAGCAAAAGGGTTGTGTGCTTTTTCAAAGCGTTTGTTTTACCTCAGGGTAGGTGGTGGGGAGCGTCAGGCAGCCTGGCAGAGGAATGCAGAAGAGAAGAGGGACCATCCAGTGGGTATTTGCCACCTCACTGATGGCTCTGGACAGAACTCTTTGACTATTACTGCTATCAACATTCCTTAGAAACAGCTTGGTTTATAAGCATGAAACTCATATCAAAAAGCACAGTATCAGTCGGGGTGCTTAGCAGCCCTGTCTTTAGTACCTTCAAGTGTTACTAGTACTTAGAATTGCCCAATTATGACCATGCAGACCAGAGATGGGATTTGTTGTCAGTTAAGATTGATAGTTTTGTCTGTGGAATTGTCCCACATCTTTCTCATAGCTGTGAAACGACAGGTCACTTGTGTGTGTAAATGACCAAAAGTATATATGTGATTTCCATAAACCTAGACAGCAAGGCAGCCTGTAGAAAAGAGGCATACTGTGAAGCAGAGTGATAGCTTCAAAGTAAAGCAGCATTCTTCATCGGTTGTAGAAAACAGTGCTAATGCCTGATTCCTTATCACTGCCACATGATGCAAGCCAGGACCATAAGACAAAGAAATTCCAGGGAAGGAACAGTGGGATATGGTTTAACATTTTCCAAATATGTTTTCAAAAATGCAGATGAGCATCTCTCAAACTGATGATACAGATGAAGGATCTGGAGCCATTACATCAAAGATTCATCACTTTCCTATAAAAGTAATTTGGCAGCATGCCACTACTATCAAGTGAATCTCTTCCTCCTTACTACACAATGACAATATATCTTTGGCCATCATTGTGCCCTCCTGAGGTTGTTGCTATTATCTGTAATTTCCATAAAGTTTCCATGCTGACAATACTCACACTTCCATTACTAGTCAGTGCACACTTCCAGGAGGCAAAATATCTCACACAAATGTTTTGTGCATGCCCATTCCATGGCTTTTTTAAAATGAATTAGTAACAGCTAAGACATGTTTTAGCAGAGGCTGAAGTCTCTCATTTAGATCTGCTAATCTACTCTACCATTGCAAATATTCTTCTTTATATTATGCAGAGTGCTCATATTTGGCAGCACATTTCACTGCTTGGCTTTTTACTTTCAGAATTATCAAACTTGTGTAATAGATTGTGTATTTTATTTGTTTCTAGCATGATTTATTGAGTTGTATTAAATGGAAAATGCATACAGATGCCAGAGGTCATCTCTGCTCGAGTATTTAATAATGTATGGTACAAAAAAAGAGGTTATTCAGAAAATTGGGGGTGGTTTGGTGTTTGTTTTTTCAGGGGTTATTTGGGTTTTCTTCTGGTGGTGGTTTCCCCCCAACTCCTTCATTCTTCTGTGTCATCAGTCACTGAAGTGTATCAAATGCTAATGTCTGCATTTCCATCTATGCCTGTCTGAAGTATTCAATCATTTTCTGTTATGCCACCTTTATAAGGGAAATATGCACGTCTACTTGTTTGGTTTTGGCAGATGTCTTCCATTTTCCTTGTCACATGTCAAAACTGGTTATGATTAAATTGATTTTCCTCCGTTAAGAATTCAATTTTTTTCAATTATGTTTTCATCTTCCTGGAGGCTGCTTCCATTATAAAGACTGGACATGGACCTGTGTGGAACCAGCTCCGGGAAACTAGTGATAAATCGTCTGTATTGTAGCTATATGTGCATTAAGAGCATGCTTCCGTCATGAGATGGTTTAGTGATGGGGAACCGTGTTGCCCGTCCCAGCTGTTCTGGCACTTGGTATGCTGACGTATTAGGGACGTTAATACATTGCAGATTTAGAAGTGGCAAGCCTGGGTTTCCATTTCCCTGCCAGAGGCAGTGGTTTCTCTTTGCAGGTTCTGCTGTTTGGCTGAGCTCTGAGCTGGACTTGTGTTAAAGGGAACTGAAAAAGCAGTTGATTTGTCCAGATGAGTTGGTGGAGAGGGCACCTGAACAAATCATTGCACAGACTCTGCTCAGGGAGGGTGCCTATTTGTTGGGGACAAGAAGGATCTCAGGGGTGGAAATGATTGATCCGCTGCCAAGGGAATAATTGCATGGACTTGAGCCCTTGTCCAGTAATCCTGAGGTGAAAGACTTCTTCCTCTGTAAAGAATCCTGCAGAAAGTACCACTCCTAAGCATCAGTGCTATTTTTATGTTAATGTCTCAGGAAATATTAATGTTGGTAAAGATCGTGGTGGTGCTGGTGCTCATAAAAATATACTTGAGGTTTCAACACACCCTGGTTTACTTATCCTGCTTGGTTTGGAAAAGCATTTAGTAATTAAGTGAAAATAATTAAATCGGACATTCTGAGCACAGGATAGATTTCAGGCATTCTTTTTTCCCCTCGAGGTTACAAAGTGTTATTCTTGCATTAGCATCTTGGAGTGTGTTAAGCAGAGATTTTGGGGAAGTTATAAACAAAAGTTCAGCTAAGGTGGAGGAAGAAGACTCGATGTCTTGGCGCAGAGATTGCCTGATGTGCTTATAGCTGGTGGCATCCACCTTCTTTGCAACAAGAGCGTATATAATGTGTCATTGAAAGTGCAAATTCACATGATTCTGTGATTCTCTTTCTGTTTCATAGAAAGTAGTCCAAAATGTCATTTCTAAAACTGGTGGCACCATGTCCAAGCTGAGTATGGATCATTGCAGTGAACCACTTCACCAGTTTCACTGTGGCATCTGAATATTAACTGGCAGAGGACACCTCAGAAAAGACAATCAGTTTTATTTCACACACAGTAGAAGGCGGCTTCATTCAGATCAAGATATTATCTGCCCTTCTCCTTGAGGGAGATACTCAACACCTTGCAAAACCAGCCTTGACCTTAACCAGCAATGCCAGTCACCATTTCCTTTGCAGGGTGTTCTGCTGACAGGCAGGGTGCAACAAAAAGACCACACACTTCTTGTGCAGCATGTACAGTTTATTAAACAAGAACACTAAAGTGAATAAGGACACTCAAGAAAACAAGCACACTAATGTGAATTGGGTGTATATATATATATAGTAAATAAGTACAATAAAGCAAATCAGATATATGTCTTTTATATATGTGTAAGTACAGAAGAAAATGAGCAATGCATCTAATCATTACTGTGTAAAGAGAACAGAGGCCAAGAAGAAATACATTACAAATTATCACTGAATCAATATCCAGCCCCACACTTCAAGCTGGGAAGCCCCGTTGTAGCCGATGCTGGGAGTCTGAGGTAATTGGGAAAATTCCTGTGTGGTGCATCTACCCATAGGTGAGGCTTCAGATTCAGCTAAAAGAGGGTCCTGCTTTTATACCCTTAGAAAAACAAGGCTTTATGCCAGATCTCTCTTGTTTACTCGGGGGGGCCATGCAGTTTCTCATGATCTCACTGTTGTCCACGCTGGGAGCATTGGCCAGGCGCCATGGTGTGCCCAAGTGTGAAGGTCATAGAACAGCTTCACACCTCTGTTTTCCTGCCTTTTTCCAACAAACAGTCACTACGATCACAAACATATATACTCTACCAAATGCACTTTGACAAAAACATACTTTGTTACGTCTCTTAGTCATCAGAGGGAATCAGCTCTCAGCTGGGTTGCCATTCATTACACAGGTCCACAAAACAGCTTGGAGTGAGGGTTGCCCAGTCTCCCTGCATCCCAGTACCAGGGCAGTGAATGGCTGGTAGGCACACTGTGTGACCAAGCCTTGTATTACTCAAACCTTGCTATGCTAGCCCATAGAGACCTACACAGTTTATTGGGCATCTGTTAGAAATTCATCAATGCTTGGCTTTCCAAAGCTTTTCTGGTTTATTTGCTTCAGACATATCGTTGGGTACTGCTGTAACCTTGAACTGATTAAATCTGAAATAAAACCTGAACTAAATATTGAACTACATGCATGCAGAATCTTCCTTTCTTGTCTCCAGAAGTATTTGTTTAGCCCTTTGTTTGAGCTTCTTTTACCTTTTTTGAATTGATACCATTTCTCGTAGTTGAACTTCATCATTGCTGCTGATTTAGGGCCTTACTGCAGTTAACATGTTCATTCACACAGGATTTCCCTTATTTGTTTCCCTTTTCTGAACTTTTTGCCATAATTACAGTAAATGATGTCTTTGATTGCATGTTGAGAGGGCAGAAATGCTGTGCCAGCAGCCATTTTTTATTCTTTGCCACTGCTACTATTCTTTTGCTGACTCTCAAGAGTAATAAGATCTATGCACTCTACTAATTTTCTTGCATACTTAGCTGCAATTGCAACCTTCAGTAATTATTATTTCATTAACTCCAAGGTATTGCGTGAATAATGCAGAATTAAAAAATGGAAAAAAGGTCAAAACAAGGTAATTTTTAGATTTCAAATCTATAAGCATTGGATTGGATTTTTGTATAAGGCATTAGTAGGATGGTGACATTAAGTAGTCTGCTTAACTGTAGAAGTACCAGAGGTATGTAGTGAAAGAGAGGCTTGCACTTAGCTGGGATCAAACTTGTTTTTGTAGCTTTTCATGAGACTTTCTTAGAGCCTTGAATAAGACCTTTTTCCAACCTTGAAATCTTAATTCTGCTTTAGCTCATCTAGGTGTTTGCAGTTAGCAGAAGTTGACTAAATATCATTTCTTTGGTAGACACATGGACTAATTCTGGCAGAAAAGAAGTTTGTGTATATCTGTATAGATGAGGAGGTCTGCACTGGGAATGTGAACACGAGCAGTAAACGTTTGTGACTGTATTAGTGTGAAGGCAACAGAAAGACTGGCTTTTAATACATGACAGTTTCTGGGTTTCCTTTGCAGTGGATGGCTGCATACACAGAGCTGCTGGGCCCTGCTTACTTGCTGAATGCCGCAACCTGAGTGGCTGTGAGACGGGACAAGCCAAAATCACGTGTGGATATGACCTACCTGCAAAATGTAAGTCAAGGCTCTCTCCGCGGTTTCGTCTTGTTCTAAGCACGTGGAGCTGGTATGCAGGCTTTATTTCCCTGTAGTCTAATTCAACAAGGTATTCATTTTACAAAATTAGCAGTGGGACTTAATTAAGGATGTTCTGTAATAATGTCTTCCCCTCAAAGCAATTCAGGCTTTTCTAAATGATTATTTCACCTATGTTATCCAATGAAAACCTACATGTCTCTAAAATATAAAACATCTTTCATGTTTATTTTTTGCAAGCCAAAACCTATCATTTCATATGCATAATAAAAGATGGGAAATGCTTTATGAAGTATGAACAAAATATACATTACCATATTTAAGATCCACGGAGAGAGTTTTGGGAAATGTTGTATATTTCATGTTCTTCTGTGGATTCCTTGATTATGAATACTTTGAGAGCTGCGGAGATCAAAGTGATGTATTGTGTTTTCAGCTGCTACGTAGAGGCTGATTGGCAATTACTGGGAAGGCATCTGTCACACTTTAGCTTTCGACAGCGTGCAGCTCAGTGCCGGAATGTTTTTGCACTTTGAAAGTGGAATTGTCATAATTCCCATCCTTTTTAAAATAGGAAGTCAGCTATTTGACCTTGTTGTGTAGATGCTGAACTTGTCTAGGAAAAAATTAACATGCTGACAGCACATTGCTTGGCCAATCCATTATGTACGAACAAACAGTAGGAAACCTCTGCAAGTTAGAATCTTACAGAATAGTATGTTAAGATGTGGTGGTACAAATGCCAGGAAAGCATTACAAACACATTACAAACAGCATAGAACTGGAATTTAAGCTCTCTCGCTTTTTATCTGCAGTCTTCACTAGGAACATGGCTCATTCAAAAGTATTTAGATCTACACATTTTTCAGGTAAAGTCAAATGCCTGCTGCAGTAGCAGGTGGCTTTTTAGGTTCCTGTGGCCCTTGGTGCCTTAGGTAAAGAAGAACGCTATGTTCCCAGTCATTTGTTGGCACCTTCTATGATGATGATGAGAGCCACCAATTATTTCCTTGACAGTGCTAATTGCTATGTACGGGAAAACTTTGCCATATTTCATACAGACCTTCACCACATATTAATGGTTATTTATGAAAAGTGATTTGGACTAGAGGTCAGGGAAACTGTTGAGGAAGATTCAATGTCATAGTTATGTTTGGTTTATATATGGCCAAAAACTTCACCAGTGTCCTGTAAAACGGGTAGCATTGTTATAGAGCACACTGTCATTTACTCTGATGGGGATTTTTGATGTTTAATTCTTCCCCGTCAACAAAAAAAATATCTTGGGAGGGACAGAAAAGCTGCTCATCCGTAGGTGCATAATTCCTCCCGTGTGTTTTAATGAGAGAAATGAAATACAAGGCATCAAAGCAATGAACACTGAACTGTGTTAGAAACAGAAAGGGTCATGTCTGAGGCATGGCCTCCTTTTAAGTTTTATGGCAGTTTAATGGGTCTTGCTTAAGTTAGGTGTGTAGAACAGGATCCTGTCTGAAGACTGTAGGGATTTTTTTTGTTCTGTGCTTTATGTAGGAATAATAAAACCATGAGAAAACCCATTATCACTAGCAGTTGGAAATAAAACCTGTAACCAGACATAGAGAAAAGTCAATATTCTGCTTAATCAATATGCCTAGGAATTGAAATTGCATCAAAGACATGTCTATTTGGATTTGATCATGCATCAACATGGCGGGGGGACACACGACACATTAACTGACAAACAGGCACGGAGAGGTTAGTGTACAGTTTGCGTGCAGAAGCTGAGATCTGGATACTCTTGATTTCTTACATCTTTTCCTTAAAACATACTTGTGTTCACCGACTGCTGTTTTCTTTTAGTTTTCCCTTTAGAAGCTTTTGGTTGTAGGCTCACTAAATTATTTTACCTTTTAGACCATTCATCTGGAAGTGATCAAACAACCCAGGCTGTTTTCCTATTTTAAAAGCTGTAGAGGCACTGGATATCTTTGGTCACTCTGTGTCACTTTGTCACAGCAGTATAATTTAACCGTGGAAACTGTTTTACATCTGAGTTGTGTGATGAGAGCAGCAACATGATGGGAGGTCTGCACTTCCCCATCCAGTTGTGCTGTGATGCCGTTTTGTATGTCAGCAGTTTGTTGAAGGTTATAGGTGAATGGATAACTGCCAGCTTTCACAGTGAATTTGCTTTTCACTTATCTGTTTGTATTTGGGAGACCAGCTACAATAATCCATTAACAGTTCGAGTAATGCAATGATTACTTGGTTGTCTGCCCTTCTCATGATTGTAGTTGGATGAATAATGGTAGTAAATGGAAGTGTATTTCCTAGCATGATGAATTATTATATTTTTTGTTGTTATTTAACTGAATTGCACAATGTTACAATTGCATTTCCTGCCCCTGGGATTTTCCTATCTCTAGTTCTTCATCCTGAAATGCTTTCCTTGGAAGCAGTTTGCTGAAATCAGCAAAGCTGCTCTGGGATGGAGCTGCCTGCATGTGTACTGTACGAAGCAGGGCTTGGCCTTAAGCTGAGGACTCCATGTTAAAGGAGATTTAGTATTCAAAGATCATGCAGCATATTGCTTTGTTTTCTAGACTTCTCAGAGGAAGCTGGAATTAAATTTGGCACTTGAAGGGAAGGTGTGCTTTGTCAGGAAGCTAGTAGTTGATAAATGAAAAACACTGGCAATCTCCTTTATGATCTGTGTATTTTTATTGACTGCTGTATTTACCTAAGGTAAATAAGAATAGGTCTGAGAAACCATTTTTTTTTGCAGAGTAAGATTGAAAAGTAGTGTCTGAGTGAAAAATGCAAAGATTTAGGGTCTAGGCTGGCTTTCCATGATCTGTTCTCATTGCAGCTGAGTCGGAGCAGTTTGTGAAATACACAAGTAACAGTGTTTGGGGAGAGAATACATGTAGTAGTTCATTTTTTTCTTCATCGTTTTATTCTAATAGTGTGAACAGAGCAAGATTACCATGTGTATAGCCTAGAGATGGTGCTATATGAATTTTCCAAGATACATATTTTTGAATGCCAAAAAATACTCTATATGAAAATAGAAGGGAAATCAAACTGAGTTTTCTAATTACCAGTTAATGTAACATTCAGTACAGTTTTACAGAAGTCAGTGTAATCACCATCTGCCTTCTGTGCTTTAAAGGCCTACACAAAGCCCCCCCAAATGCCAACTGAGTTATTTGGTGAATACATAATTTGGTTGATGTCATCTATTGTTGTTTTTCAGCATACACCTAAGCAGGCGCCCAAGTTTTCATTGCGCTTTGGAGGGCTGGAAAAGGCAGTGCTTTTTGCTCTGAGATGTTTTCCTTTAATGCTCTCCCAGAGCCATCATCAATTACTTAACTTCTGTACTCCTATTGTTGTTCCTTTTAAAGAAAGGTTCATTCTAAATATTGTACAACTGGTCTTCAAACACTGAGCAGTACTCTGATACTGTCATGCTTTAAATAACAGATAAACTGTGTCTGTTTAAATGCTGTACAAATGCTTGTTTTCTTTCTCATTTGATTAATAGTCTCAGTTGGCCCTACTGGCAGAAAATGGTCTGAATGTAAATTGTGTTTATGGCTGGAACCAAGGGTCCATAACAGCCTCATGGCTTGTTATCTGCTTGCAGAGGTTCACTATAAAAAAAAGACCCTGTCAGAACACATTAGGAAATACAGTCCCATTCTGCAAGGTATTTAACGGGCTTAAATCCAGTTGAAGATGTGGTGACAGCATCCAGCACAGGTAAGTGGTGCCCCAGCCTTGGCAGGAAAGGACCCGCAAACTTAACTTTTTTCTATTGTTACTATTTCTAGTAATAGTTTATTTCTTGTTCTGAAAAATGTTTGAGAATAAAACCCCTAAACCTAGGAAAATAAAATCTTATAGCCTCTAATATGGGAAAGAGCCAACCATGGGTAAATTAAATCTGAAAGGCGGACTTTCAGTGGCGGTACCTTGCTGGAAATGCTAGGCAGTTTCTAATACATTGGTTTATGTTGTTAATAAATCTGTAATATATGGAATAAAGTTTTCTGTTTGTTTGATATTTTTAGTGCTTCAAGCAATATCCTTTAGGAAACAGCATATATAACATAGTCTTCTGGTCCAAAGTGACTGCGTAGATCAGTCTGGAGTCATAATGTGAATGTGCTCTCAAAGACAGTTCCTGCTGTGAAATAAGTAGTTAGGAGGAGTGCTAGTATTAAGCACAGTAGGAGGAATCAGCCTTTAAATTTGTTTAATCAGATTAAAAAGTGGAGATTAAGAAGTAGAGATTAAAAAGCGTGCTTCCATTATATAGACATAATTTTCTGTATTTAAAAGATGACTATTTGGAGGGTGTTAGTTTAAAGTGAGGCTGTAAGGGTAGTGATTTTAAATCTCTCCTTTATTTTCTTGACGATTGCTTGCAGAGCTGTAATTAAAAGGTTGATTATGCGGAATTGGAGCTCCAAACCTCGACTCCAGTACACCAAAACTGATCAGTTGGAAAAATGGGGCGTAATATTCAAGTGTATGATGTGAATTTCCAGGATTCAACAAAGAACTTTCTTTGTTTCCTTACTTTTAAAACCGTGGTTGATATAATAATGCATAAACTTTGTTTCAAGCAACTTAGATTTCTGATATGCGAGACTCAAGCAGATACTTCCTTCTGCATGGTTCTGATGTGCAGAAGAACATTATCTTTGCATGATTGTTCAGTTTGCTACCTCCCTATTTGCTCTGGGAAGAGAAAAGTCTGCAGATTGGAAAGGTAGGCATTAGAAATGAGCAGTATGTGAACAAGAGACGATCGTTTACAGAAGACACACTTGGCCACATAGTCCCAGTTGGTCGGGGTCCCTGGTCTTCTCCCACAGTTGCTTTTAAGTGTTAAAAGGAAAAATTTCAAGTGAGAAGTGGAAAAGATGCATAACTATACTGGAGTTTGATGCAATTTCAGTTGAAAAAGGCTGCTGATAAATATAGGG